AAATCAATTCCTACCTGAGATAACATCAAGGTTTTTGGCTTGAGAAGCTGATATAATGGAATCATCGTTTCCTAATATGGGAAAAACTGGGAGAGAAGTGAGTTTGGGTGGGAACTTAAAGTTCTGATTGTAGACGTGTTAGCATGTGTGGATGTCCATTAGGCAGTTGACTCTACAGCCTACTGTTCAGGGAATGGAGAGAAACATGAAAGTAAACAGTGTCCACATGGAATAGAAAGCCATGGGGTGGGAGGAGATCTTCTAGTGAATTAATAAAGAGAAAACAATAGGTCCCATGGTTGAGCCCAGGAACACTCCCAAGTTTAGAGGTTGAGAAATTTTTAAGAGTAGAAAAGGAAACTGGAAAAGAGTGGCTATAGAAGTAGGAGAAGAACTGAGAGACAGATTCAGGCAGCCAAAGAAAGAAAGTGATCACTTGTGACTTTGAAGTTGAGAAAAACCCATAAGAGTTGGCTATGTGGAGGGCACTTTGACCTTAACAAGAGCAATTTTAGTGTACTGATGAAAAAGAGCCCTCACTGGTGTGGGTCAAGAGAGAAAAGGAGGTGAGAAAACAGAGATGGCAATTATAGAAAATTATTCTATAGGAGTGTTTCTTTTTTCTTTTTCGTTTTTGTTTTTGTTTTTTGTTTCTTGTTTTTTTTTTGAGATGGAGCCTTGCTCTGTCACCCAGGCTGGAGTGCAGTGGCGCGATCTCAGATCACTGCAACTTCCGCCTCCCAGGTTCAAGTGATTCTCCTGCCTCAGCCTCCCAAGTAGCTGGGACTACAGGCACGTGCCACCATGCCCAGCTAATTTTTGTATTTTTAGTAGAGACAGGGTTTCACCATGTTGGCCAGGATGGTCTAGATCTCTTGACCTCATGATCCGCCCACCTCGGCCTCCCAGAGTGTTGGGATTATGGGCGTGAGCCACAGTGCTGGGCCCAGGAGTGTTTCTATGAAGGGGTACAGGGAAATGCAATGGGATCTGAAGTCAAGGGAAGGTGTTTTTCTTAATGATGGAAGATATTGAAGTGTGTTTATATGCAATTGGAGATATTCAGAAGAGGTGAAAAGCCTGATGTTGAAGGATAGAGGACAATTGCTGGAGTGATGTCTTTGGCAGGTCCACAAGCAAAGGGGTGGGCATTAAGTAGGTACATAGACAATCAGTTGTGTGCAGCAAGTGTGTGAAGGCAGAGATGCAGGTAGATTTCATGTTGGGAGTGTGCTTAGAAGTTCTCCTCTGATCTCTTCTACTTTCTTAAGCAAAAAGTAGCAAAATTTCGTTGAAAGTGAGGAAGTAGAGAGATATTTGAGTTTTGAATATCCAAAAAGAGATGACATTGTTGTTGAGAAAAGCAGGGCAGAGCATTAAATGGAGCAACGTCGGCAGCAGTGAGGACCTCCCAGGGTTGGTGATCATGCATTTAGAATGAGTCCTGTCAGCCTGGTTGTGTGGTTTTCTTCAACCATATTCAGCTGATTAGGTGCAGGTGGAGTAGGTAGAGTGATTTAATCTGGGAAATGGTCTAGCCAATTGAAGTGCAGAGCAAGGATGGTGAGGGATGCAAGGGAGTGATTTATAGACCATGAAATTTAAGTGGGATAAGGGATAAAAGGAGGTAGGTCAGGGAGAGTGAAAAGCTGGAGAGCTCACTGGGGACAAAGAGTTGTTGCATTGGTAATGTAAGGACTGAGTAGGAAAGAAAGAAGGTGGTGGTCAGAGAGTGGAATCATGGAAATTGAGATAAAAAACCTTTCTGTAAAAAGATATTGCTTATTCATCACTTTTCAATAATATTATTTCTTTAAATAAGCTCCTTAAGGCATAATTTATAGTAAAAGTCACATATTTTAAGTATATACGTTGATGATTTTTAACAAAACTGTACACTTATGTCATTGCCATCAAAATTAAGATATAAAACAGTGCTCTCTCTCCAAAATTCACTTTTGCCACTTTGCAGTCTCCCTCACCCCACACCTCACTGAAACGCGGGTCTTTTTTTTTTTTTTGAGATGGAGTCTTGCTCTGTCTCCCAGGCTGGAGTGCAGTGGCATGATCTCCACTCACTGCAACCTCTGCCTCCCAGGTTCATGTGATCTTTCTTCCTCAGCCTCCCAAGTAGCTGGGACAACAGGCGTATGCCACCACACCTGGTTAATTTTTGTATTTTTAATAGAGACAGGGTTTTGCCTTGTTGGCCAGGCTGGTCTCAAACTCCTGAACTAGGGTGATCTGCCCGCCTCGGCCTCCCAAAGTGCTGGGATTATAGGCATGAGCCACTGTGCCTGGCCAACACTGGTTTAGAAAAAAAAATCACCATAGATGTATTTTAACTATTCTAGAATTTCACTTAAATGAAATCATACAGTATGCACTTTTTAAATGCCAGGTCACTGTTGCCTGGAAAAATGTCTGTGAAATTTATCCATGTTTATTTTGTGTATCTGTACTTTGTTCCTTTTTATTGCTGAGTGGTATTCCATTGTATAAATAATACAATTTCGGTATCCATTCACCTGTGGATAGACATTTGGGCTGTTTCCACTTGGAGCTGTTATAATATTAATGTTCATATGCAAGTCTTTTTATGAGCATATGTTTTCATTCTCTTAGGTAGATACCTAAGACTGTAATTGCTGCTATGTATTATCCGTTTTTACATATTTTTGGATTTGACTCACTAACATTCTGTTTAGGATTTTCGGGTCTGTATTCATAGAACTGAGAAGTCACCACGACAATTAGTCTAAGAGGGAAACATTTAGTCCTTTGTTAGGAGATGGGGGCAAAACTAACCCTTTGACTCTTCCTTGTGTTGGAGTCATTGTAGCAACAGTGTCTTGATCCTATAAATAATGGTAAACTGAACCAGAATGCCTATAAACCAGATGCATTCATCTGCCACAAAACAAAAGGCATAAAAATGCATAATAGGGTCATGGCAATGAGGGATCATGCAGAATTTCAGAAGGCACCACAGCCCATCCTTATAACTAAGTAGCTTTGTCCTGTACTCTTTCCAATCTCTTTTTTTTCGGGGTCTCTTTAGGTATATTCTTGGACAACCAGTCCTTAAGTTTATCACCTTCTGATGGAAACACAGACAGTCAGAGAATCCACACGGGGATACTGTTTTAGGGGAACTAATGGCATAATTTTAAATGTTGTTATGTGGCAGATCATTTTCAGCTGTGTTGCAACAATGTCTCTACTAAACCACCACAGCTAAAGGTGTGTCCAGAGAGAAGCACAGGTGTCCTGGATCCTTGGAGTTATAGCTATTGACACTTGGATGAAATATCCTCTTCCTTAAGTGTGAAGTGTCTCTGGAATATCACAGCTTTGAAGACTGTCAATTTCCCAAAAAATAAAAATTACTTATTTCATAGTAAATAATTCAATTTGTAGGTTAAGTTTTACAACAAATTTACTGGAACTACTCTTTCCTACGTACTCCTTAAATACCCCACAGAACCTCTGGCAGGTATTGAGGCAATCAGTAGATTTTTAAGAAAGCAATATTCCAAAATGACTCATCACAAAATTAGAAATTATGTAAAGATAATTGAAGTAAAAGAAAAATAACACATTGTTCTCTTGACTCATTTCGTTTCTTCCCTGACAATGAATTTTCATGAGCTTCTTGGACTGTTAAGGTAAATTGATATTTTAAAGTCTGTGATTATGTGTGACAGGAGTACAATATTTGTAAGCTTTTATTTGTATATTTATATTTATACCAAATATCTATGAGCAATTGTGAGTAAAATACCTTCTGTCTTTAAATTGCTCACTAAGTAGAATACTTGCCAAACATCATTTAAATGAATACTTATTATATGTGAAACACAAGTGCTTTATAACTTGCTTTTAGAATATTTAATTAAGAAATGGAAGGGAGGGCTGGGCACGATGGCTCACACCTATAATCTCAGCACTTTGGGAGGCCGAGGCAGGCAGATCACCTTAGGTTGCGAGTTTGAAACCAGCCTGGCCAACATGGTGAAATTGTGTCTCTACTAAAAACACAAAAATTAGATGGGTATGATGGCACACACCTGTAATTCCAGCTACTCTGGAGGCTGAGGCAGGAGAATCGTTTAAACCCGGAGTCAAGATTGCGCAACTGCTCTCCAGCCTGGACAACAGAGTAAGACTCTGAAAAAAAAAAAAAAAAAAAAAGAAAGAAATGGAAAGGAAAGTATCTTAAAGCACAATATGTTATGTGTCAATAGGTTATATGACTTTGGGGGAAGGATCTGTTAGAATAAGTTTTCTGAACACCTAGAACTTACACTTTCAAAAGCTTTTTTTCTTTTAACCAGTTAAGAAACTTTTTTTTTTTTTTTAAATCATTGTTGGGTTTCCTGCCATCTCAAGCAGACCATATAGAATATAATCTACAAATTCTACAGGTGATGATTATGTGTTTCAGTTCACCAAGGGTGCACACCTTGAGGTTGATTAAAGTGCATAGACACAAAGGAGGAAATCGGGAAACAAAACAGCGTAGTAGTTTGAGGCCATGTATTAAATGGGTCTGCCTCCTCTCTCCTTCCATTCCCCTCCCTCCCACACCCATTTGCTTCCAATCATACACTCATTTAAACTCAGAAAGATGGAGGGTGGATCCAAGAGGTCAGTCGACCTTGGTTATTCCATCACTAACTTCGTTTTATGTTGTTTTACATTTTGGTTTTGGAGGAGGTCCCAAGGCTGAATAAATACATCCATGTGAGACTCAAGTGCATATGCTCACAGAACTTTTTCTCTCATTTTTGTGCACCTTGGTCCTCTAGTTTCTTAAAGTTAGCAAAAGAATGATTTCTGGTTACGTGGCACCTTGCTGGAATAAGCTCTGTGTACTTCAAAGTGCAGGAAAAGCATGAACGACTTGCTCAATATAAGCCTTTTCAATTCTTTTCTCTCTCTTGTCTTAAAAGCAGACCCTGAGATAAAGATCCAAATAAAAGCATTTTGTTTGGCAGGTGAAGGAAACACCAACAGGTGAGTGGGATGTGAGAGAAGATGAAGGTAATCGGTAAAGAGTGTGTTACAAGCCAGCCTCCACCCTGCGCAGCTGGAGCTGAAGCCTACTCTGGAAAACGATGTTCCACTCACCCCGCAGAGTCACCAGGACCAACTCCTGTAAGTCAATTGTTGAACATTGATGGGCTGTTAATACTTTCACACTTTCAGCCTGCCTGCATGGGTGGACAAAGTGTGCTTAGGTGGCCGAAGAAAGTGGAAGATAGGCACCGTGAGCTGACATGGTAATGGTGAGGAGATACGAGCAGGGCACCTACAGTGCAGCTGGAATTGGTGACATGAGAATGGCCCCTATTCTCAGTCCATTGATTTGGAGACTTGCATTTCAAGAATGCATTAAGAGACAGCTATGACTTTCCTTTAGAGTAGTATCTAGAAATGCTGGTTTCCAATGTTATTGGAAGAAAAATATAATCGCTACTAAGTAGGACCACATTCTACCTATCTGTGCAGCGTTTTCTGGTTTATATCCTGAATGCATTATCCCATGAATTGCCTTACTCAACCTTATTTTACTTTTATAATAATTTGACTGCTGACAATTTGAATTTCTTTCTTCTCTCTTGAATGGTCAGATAGGGGTTCGTAAGAGGTGATTGATTTCCTAGCGTCAGTTTATTCCACTCCCTCAACCCAGACATTTCTTGAAATTATAGAGTAGTGATTTTGAAAACTGTAAGTCAAGCATTGCTTATTTCTAAAAACTTTCTGTTGTCCTTATAAGGTTCTTAGCTGTGGGAGCAGGGTGTACAAATATACAGGGATTCTGTCTCATGTTGTAGTGGGACGCTGTTTTATTCTGCCAGCATCTTTTTCTTGTGGATCCGTTTTTCCTCAAATTCATTTGGCTGTGTGTGTGTGCATAATGGGTCTCATAAATATCCCACTTCCAGGGTTGGCATGTGACTGGGACTGGACCCATCTTACTGTAGCATTGACTGGACACACAGAGGTGGAAACATGATCCAGTCATGGCCAGAGTATACAGTGTGTGTAAGAGAGAGAAAGAGAGAGGAACTATGGATACTACGGATACTGGGGGACTGAAGCTCTCCTTCTTCCTTGTTTGCTCATCCAGGATAACATAAAGCTAGGGATGACTGTGGCCACTTTCGTGACTCCTCTAGGTGGAGAGGCATAGATAGCATGCCGAGTGTAGCCAAGTGGAGATAAATAATAGAGATGAAAAGTCTGGAGGTTTAGACCCTGGATCTGGCTTGACTGAGCTTGACCTCAGGGCCTTCTGGACCAATTTATCTGTGAGCTAATTCTTCTTCTTCTTCTTCTACTTCTTCTTCTTCTTTTTTTTTGCTTAAGCTCATTTAAACTAGGGTTCTAGCACCTGCAGTAGAAAGGCTTTTGACTAAAACAGAGCTGGCAAGAAACTGAAGATGAAAGAGAAAGTGTATCAGAAAAAAGTTTTGAGATACCTAGCTTAATAATGAAAAATCTTAAACACAATAAAATGCATTCAATATCAACTAATGAGATTTTTTATGAAACTAGAGTATGTATAAAATTATGACACGATGGCCGGGCATGGTGGCTCATGTCTGTAATCTTAGCACTTTGGGAGGCCGAAATGGGTGGATCCCTTGAGGCCAGGAGTTCAAGATCAGCCTGGCCAACATGGCAAAACCCTGTCTCTTCTAAAAATCAAAAATTAGCTGGGCATGGTGGTGCACCCCTGTAATCCCAGCTACTCACAAGGCTGAGGCAGAAGAATCGCTTGAACCTCGGAGGTGGAGGTTGCAATGAACCAAGATCGCGCCATTATACTCCAGCCTGGGCAACAATACAGAAACTCTATCTCAAAAAAAAAAAAAAACACACAAAAATTATGACACAACTGGCCAAGAAACACTGTCTGTTATTTTCCTTAAAGTGACTGGAATACAAGGTAAAATGTCCACCAATACCCACATCTGAATAACCATACTTTGCTAGTCAGTGTTTTTTCAAGAAAATATGGTGTTGCATGAAAAAAGTGTCTAGTTCAGTGTGCAACTCCAATACTCACACAAATTGTTTTCCTCAAGTCAATCAGTACTTTAACATGCAATAAAGGTGCCTTATGAGGACTTTCCATTTTATAACAGAATATTAAAAAGCAGTACACTCAAAGGTTGACAACTAACAATTTTTAGTGCTTTATCAAGGACATTCCTAAGTGAAACTATTTTTCTTTAAATTTTTTTTCTATAACCTCATATTAGAAGTCATTTTCTTTTCCTTTTAAATCATGAGTGCCATGGCAGTGAAGAATATGACTATTTGGCTGGGTATGGTGGCTCATGCCTGTAATCTCAGCACTTTGGGAAGCCAAGGTGGGCAGATCACCTGAGGTCAGGAATTCGAGACCAGCCTGGCCAACATGGTGAAACCCCGTCTCTACTACAAATACAAAATTTAGCCCAGCGTGGTGGCATGTGCCTGTAGTCCCAGCTACTCAGGAGGCTGAGGCAGGAGAATCGCTTGAACCTGGGAGGTGGAGGTTACAGTGAGCCGAGATTGCACCACTGCATTCCAGCCTAGGCAACAGAGTAAGACTCCATCTCAAAAAAAAAAAAAAAAAGAATATGATTATTACAATAGTTTGATGCCACTGCCTTGATGGGTGTGAGGATTCTAGCAGTTTTATCCACCAGTGCTTTTGCACCTTCAATGCAAATGTCAATCCAGAGAGTGATATAGTTTGGATATTTGTCCTCACCCAAATCTCATATGGAAATGTAATCCTGAGTGCTGGAGGTGGGGCCTGCGGGGAGGTGTTTGGGTCATCAGGGTGGATCCCTCATGGTTTGGTGCTGTCCTTGCAGTAATGAGTGACTTCTTGTCAGATCTGGTTGTTGTGAAGTATAGCACCATCCCCCCATTCTCTTGCTCCTGCTTTGGCCACATGATGTGCCTGCTCCTGCTTCAACTTCTGCCATGAGTGAAAGTTTCCTGAGGCCTCCCCAGAAGCAGATGCGGGTGCCATGCTTCCTGTACAGCTTATAGAACCAATTAACCAATTAAACCTCTTATCAATTACCCAGGGTATTTCTTTATAGCAATGCAAGAACTGCCTAATACAGACAGCAAGACATATCCATTTCAATATTATTATGAAAATAGTTTTGATCTGGCAGATTCCTTGAAAGAATTTGGGGAACCAACAGAAGTGGGTGGACCATACTTTGCAAATCACTAATTTAAAATGTGCTATTATTCTATCAATGAAAAAAGACTTACCGAGTCCCTATGATTGCCAGGCACTTTTGAGAGCATGGAATATGTCAGTGAACAAAACAAGGAACTCTGCCTTCATGGGGGCTATTTTCTAGCAGGGTGGCAATAGACAATAAGATAGGAAATATAATATGTAGGCAAATTAGGAAATGCCTTAGGAGATGTTAAGTGCTATGGACAAAATAAAAAGCAGAGCAAGGTAAGAGTGACTGGGAGTGCTGGTGGGTGACAGGCAGCAGGTTGAAAGTTTAGAGTGGTCAGGGTAGGCCTCATTGCAAAGGTGACAATTTTGAGCAAAGTCTTAAAAAAGGTGAAGGAGTTAGTCATGTGGCTTTCTGGTGGAGGAGCATTTCAGTTAAAGGAACAGCCAGTACAAAAGCTACAAAGTAGGAGTATGCCTGGTATGGTTAAAAAACACTAGGACACCGGTGGGGAGGGAGTGGAGAGATTAAATGTAAAGTACTAGAAAATGTGATCAGAGAACTAAGGGATGGAGCACATCATGTAGAGAAATGGGAGACACTGGAGGGCAGAAGAGTGACCCAATTTCTCTTATGCCTTAAAAATGGTCAATTTTGGCCCGGCATGGTGGAATATGCCTATAATCCCAGCATTTTGGAAGGCTGAGGCAGGAAGATCACTTGAGCCCAGGAGTTTGAGACTGCAGTGACCAATGGTTGCACCACTGTACTCCAGCTTTGGTGACAGAGTGAGACTTTGTCTCTGAAAAGAAGGAGAGGAGAGGGGAGGAGAGGAGAGGAAGCCGTGTTGAGGATAGAGAACAAGGATAGAAAATGGATGAGTGATAATAATGGGCCAGCCCAGAGTGGTAGATGTGAAACTGTTGAGAAGGTAGACTCAGTAGAAATTCCTAATGGTTTTGATGTGGGGTATAAGAGTAAGAGAGAATTCGAAGGTAACTTCAAAGCTATTGACCTGAGTAACTGAAGATGGTGAATCTCTTATACAAAAATAATTCAAAATTTTCCATAAATCAAAGTGTAAAATTATAAAACTTTAGAAAGAAAATACTGAAGAAGATCTTCATGACCTATAGATAAACAAATAATTCTTAAACCTGACACCAAAAGCATGATGCATAAAAGAAAACAAACAATGTATTGGACTCATCAAAATTAAACATTTTTGCTCTGTTTAAATATTCTGTTAAGAAAATAAAAATAAAGTCATTGCCTTGGAAAAATTATTTGCAAATCACATATCCCACAAAGGCTTTGTATCCAGTATCTATCTGTCTGTCTGTCTATCTATCTACTTATCTATCCATCCATTCATCTATCTATCTGTATATATATATACACACACACACACACATGCACTCTTTAAACTCAACAAGAAAATAAACAATCCCATTTGAAAATGGGGAAAAGATCTGAACAAATACATATCCAAAGGATGGCAGAGAAGCACATGAAAAGATTTTTAACATTATTAACCCTTGGGAAAATGCAATTAAAGTCACCATGAGATATTCCAGCATACCTATCAGAATGCCTAAAGTAAAAAATACAATATCAAGTGCTGACAAGGATGAGGAACAACTGGGTCTCAGATATTGTTGGTAGAAATGTAAAGTGGTATGGCTAGTCAGGAATACAGTTTGGAATTTCTTATAAAGTTAAACATATACTTCCCATATGATCTGGCAACCCCAGTCCTGGATGTTTATCCCAGAGAAATGAAAACTTATGTTAAACAAAACCCAGCACACAAATTATTCACAGCAGCTTTATTTCTAATAGGCAAAAAGTAGAAACAACACAAATGTCCTTCAACAAGTGAATGAATAAACAAACTGTGGTGTGTCTATATAAGCAAATACTGCTCAGACAAAAAATAAAAAGAATGCATGTAACAACTTGAATGGATGTCAAGGGTATCAGGCTGAGAGAAAAAAAAAAATCAGTCTCAAAAAGCTACCTACCATGTGATTCAACTTATATA